ACAAACACCTTATTAACAATTAGAACAACCTATAGAGCAAACCTTTTAACATTGATGACAGCCATCTTCAAATTTTAAATTTGCATCATCACATTATTCTTCTGCAACAACTAATTTATCTCCACAAATAGATCGGCAAGTATTATTAAAATTTTCAAATCCTTACTTACATACTAAACAACCATTTCCCCCGATACTACATTTCAAACATTAAGAATTACAACGAGGATCAGGATAGTAATCAAAACTATAAAAACAGGCTTTCTTGATTATTTAAAACCCTTCATAACAATCAAAACAGACACCCTGATGACAATTTGAGCAAAATTATGGGCAACTAAAAGAACATTAATGACAACCATCTCCAAATATAAGATTTCCATCATCGCATTCTTCATCCTCCGTTACTATTTTGTCTCCACAATTTGAATAACATAAATTATCAATTCTTCTGTAGCCATTTTTACAAACCTAGCAACCAAGCCCAGAATTATCACAAGTTAAACAGGAGGATTAACATTTTTCTTTGCAATTTTAACAACCTTTATATGGTAATATCAATCCAACTTCACATTATTCATTAAGTACTTTTATTGAATCTCCACATATTGGAATACATATTTTAGTATCAGATAGCCGCTATCCTTTTGCACATGCTTCACATCTATTATTTATACAACTTGAGCATATTGATGATGGTTAACATTGAAATTGGCAATAATTATTGCATCCATCATCATTGACTTTATTTCCATCATCACATTTTTCAGGATTGGATGTATATAATTTCCAATCAGGATCTGTTACTACAAATCCATCTCCGCAAATATTTTTGCAATAATACTTCTCTGGAGCAAATCCATGTAATTCACAACTTAAACAAGTGTTAGTATTGTAGTCACAAGAAGAACAGCCAATTCTACAGGAATATTTATCATCTTTGCATTATTCTTGCCCAACAATTCCGCATCTTTCTTTACATACCCAAGGTTGAACTGTAATATCAGTATACCAACCTCCAGTATTACATTCAAAACACTCTCCTTTAACACATTTTGTACATTAAGGCTAACATTAATACTTACAATTAAAACATCCATCAAATTAAATAGTGTTCATATCTTCGCATTCTTCCACTCCAGTTATTACTCCATCTCCGCAAATATCAGGACAAGGCAAGGTAGTTAATTCATCACAAGTTAAACAAGGAGCTGGGCATTGAAATTAGCAATTATAACATAAGTCGTCTAAAATAGTATTATTATCTTCACATTATTCATACCCAATTATGAATGAATCTCCACAAATAGGTTAACATTCTCCAGAAATTAGTTGAAACCCAAAGTCACAAGAATTACAGACATTTGTATGCCATAATTATTCACTATTAGTACATAATTTGTAGCATGATAGTAACTAAACATCTTCTGTATTAGGGCAATCTAAAATTATTAATTATTTAAATACTTGTACATATGTTATTTAATTCATAATAACCAGGGGCACATAAACATTTTAATCCTTTTAATGCTCTATTCGAAGTAGTATCACAAGTTAGGCAGCTATTATCTGAACCCAGAAAACAGGTTTAACATGATGAATGACATTAAGAGCATGAATTAATAGCTGCTTAATAAAATAATCCTGTTGGGCATCTACATATTGTACCAAAATTTTCAATATTAAGAATATTATTGCAAGTTAAACAATCTTCAGCAGTAGGTCCAATGCAAGTTTCACAAAATTAATGACATTGTTTACATTGAGGATTCGATAAAATTGGATAGTATCCATCAATACAAATACATTGTTGATTTTTTAAATGTCTATAATTTGTAACTAAACACTCAATACAGTTATTTGAACTCAAACATTAATTACATTCAATAGGACAGTCAAAACATTAATTTGAATCTTCATATTGATTCAATTTACAGACACATCCTAACCCAGTCCAAGTATAAGTTGATTAGCATGATTAACAGTCTATTTTTGACGTACAAGTTAAACAAGATTATGGGCAAAAAAAACACCTGTAAGCTTCTTTATCGAAATATTAATTAGTTAAACACTCTTCTTATGAGAATTTAACTTTATTTTCATCATAATCGCTGCTCCATTATAAACATGTAGTTTCATTTGAGCATTAGAAACAATAAGGTTAACATTTATGAACAGTTATATAATAATTATAAAATCCACAATAACCTTTAACTGGTTCATTATTTGGTCCATAGCATTCCCAACTTATTGTTAATGTACTTGTATTATGATTTATTCTTTCATAGACTCTACCCCATTTTACTCCATTAGAATATGTATTATTATAATCTTAGGTTGATTTAAGAACTGGCTGGTTATCTTCAACAACATAAATAAATAAACCATCGGAAGGAAATTCAGGTCCATAAAGTATATAAAATGCAATAGTGATACTATGATGTGGGTCATTTGCACTATGAATTCTTTAAAATTTAGCTTAAGCCCAAATAAAAGGACCTCCGAATATTCTTAAACTTTGAGAATCAAAATGTTAATGTGAATAATAGATACCTGATCCTTTTAAAAAATTTGTCCCATTTTATGAGATAAGTGCATATTATGAATATTATTCAGGATCATGTGCATTATCTATAAAGTCTTCAGCTAAATATTAGGAATCTAAATAAATTAAAAGTTGTACAAGGAGTTTCAATTAAAAAATCGTAACAATATGAACCATTTAATTTTAGATTTGGTTTTGAACATTTCTCAAATAAAATGCAGGTATTATCATGAAATAAATAGTATCCTTTTTAACAAGTCTTACACTTAAATGATACATCACATAATATACAGTATTGAGGACAATATCCAGAAGTAATTGAAAAAGACTAGAATCCCCATCCTGCTGTATTATCACTAATTTAATAAACATGAATTATTACGAATAATTTCCCTTTAGTGAAAAAAGAAATGGATATTTAGGAAGGTCAACATATGCAATTAAGGTATATACCTTACTTGAAGAATAGTTGTATTTTAATCCATAATTCTCTATTTTATAAATTTTCATTTTATGTGTTTAAACTCCTGATTCATTTCTAAAAATAGAACCAAAATAAGTATTATTAATCAAAAATTAAATTCCACAATTTTTTGGAATTTCATTAAAAGTTTAAATCCTAATTTAAAATCCACATAAGTATTTTTCGTTGGAATAGGCGAAAAAGATATTAATAAGTCTTTAGATACCAGAATTAAACTTAAAAACACCATAACTTACATAACCGTTAAATTAATAGGATACAAATATATGCGATGGGTCATATATAATAAACCAATAATTAAGGTTAAATTCAGAAATATAAAAAGTCTAAATATAATCTATAATACTTCAATTTAAATACTTGGAAAAGATTAACAAAATCCATTAGAGTATAATGAAGTTTCGATCCCACAAATATCTCTGCATCCAAAATTTTTTTCATAAAATTAATTAGGCGGACAAGGTGGACAAATATTGTTTATAGGTGATTTATAATGACAACTTGTACATTGATTTGATTTTGGCCCTGTGCATGAACTACATGATGGGTAGCATTAAAGATTTGAGATAAATATATTTCTAATTGAAACTTATCCATTATTTGTATTTGATGATGTAAATTATATTGAACTAATATAAGATTGTTCATTTATAAAATTAACAGTTCTAACTTCATAAGCAGTTTCATCACAAAATCCATTTGTTTGCTAATAATCAGTAGGAGAAGTGTAATTATATAAATATGAAAATTAGTCTGTCATAATTGTAACAGTTTGCGATGCCCAGGTACCTTAAAAATATAAGTCCACTGAAAAAAAATATCGATAGCTTATCGAAAAAAGCGAATAACTCTTAGCTGATGGAAATAGACTGTCAAGGGTAACATAGCTTGATGGAGGTATAGTGCAAGTTATAAAATTAGCTGTTTCTTGTTTGGATGGCAATATAAAGTACCCCGATTATTGATAATAATTATTCCCAGAGCTTTAAGCAAATTTCTCATTGTTGTACAACAATGAAAATTCATTTACCCATTATTAATTAGCAAAATGAATTAAAGATGCAAGAATAAAAATTATTGAACCATTCATTATTATAAATTATTAAGAATTTATTATTACTTTATATATCTACAAAATTTTTATTATTCTATTTACCTAAATGTTAATGAAGAAGAGGTTGAAAATCATTTTATTTGTTTTTAGAGTTTGCACATGAGTTTGCCCATTATAAATTTATTTCAGCAAAATGTTGAATGTTTTAACAATAAATTTTTTTTTTTTTTTTTTAAGAAGATAATTTTTTGTAAGAAAGTAATTAATAGAGAAAAAAAATAAAATTTTTCAAAAGGTGAGGATTGTTCAAATTAAGAAAAAATTGTATTTTCTTTTTTGTTAGATGTATTTGATTCTTATTACTTCTTTTTGGCAGAACTTTAAAAAATAAATTCTTGCACACCATTAAATCTCTAACTTTAAAGCAAGGAACTCAACTCCTCAATAATACATTGTTAATTGGTTGAAAGACTTCCCCAATCATTCTAAATATAAGCAATTAATAAATCTTGCACTTGGGTTTGGGTTTGCCCACTAGTAGGTTTAATTGGGTTTGGGTTTGGGTTTGGGTTTG